GTAAATACTAATGCTGGAAAAAGTTCATTACAACCTTGAAACAATCCAACATTTTATTATATTACTGAGGAAATCAGTAAGAATAAGCAAGTAGAACCTACAACACACTGTCACAATGGCTATTCTCCCACTGCAATATTCCTGTTCAGGAATTTCCTCTCTCCCACCCTTGTCCTGCTGTGTCACTGATCCTTAGATGGAAGTCAGCATGTTTCATGTAGCAGGATGCACCCTGTCCTGAAAATGGGCAATGCATCCTCTCAATTTTAATCTCATCTCCAGAATATTTACAAAAACCATTCAAGGACTGAGCAGATTAACTCACTCCCTTCCTGCAATTTCCTTTTTCTCCATAACTGACATACAAACATGCTGTGACTTAATCAATTCAATGCCTCCAAAAATATTAACTGTCTACCTAACTTCTAAATTCTTTAACTTTTATAGTTGCACAGGAACAACTGTCATCTAAAATCTATAAATTCATAGATGGTTACAGATTTTAAGGTCCTTTTCTTTTAATTCCCATAAGTTCATGGTTCAATATACATGGGTTGTTCCTTGCTGCACTTTAATAGATCAATTTTGCTCCAAACAGCTAAGCTTGTTACTCGAGTAAACAAATTATTTTTAGAAATGGAAGAATTTCTATGAGAACATAACAGTAAAATTAATTTTTCAGCTCCAGAAAAACCTTGACCCCACATTACTTTCACAACTTTTTAAACAGTACACATATTTGCTTACAAGTCACTTTCATGAGTAATAGCAATGTGCAAATTGGTCCTTCATAAATTCAAAAACTAGGAACATCAAGATATTTCTTTGTTATGCCTATGACATCAAGTTCAATGTAATGTGGCTTAAGCACTTTCCCTATTAGCATGATGTCTTACTGCTGAAATTTCCTAAACATTCTTCTCCAGAATGACAAATATCACATATTTCTATATTGTTTTTCTAAAAGAGGTGAAAAAAATCAAACAAAATAAACCATTATTCTCCAACAAAAACACAGCCAATAAGAGTAAACAGGACATTTATATTCCAAATTTTACAACAAGCCTATAACACAGAAACAGCAAGGCATGTACTGCACAAACAAACATTATGGTGCTACCTAGTAAAACTATTTTATCTTCTAAAAAGCGTGTATTTTCCGTGTTTCAAAAAAGCCACATTCAACAATTGGTTGATTTTGACAGCAACAGTGACCACAAAGTGCCCATGAAAACCCAAAGCATCTGAAAATAACCAAGGCTGCAATCTCATGCATTTTATATGAAGTGCGTCCAGCAAGACTAACATTTAAGACTAACCCAGAATTCAGTATCCAAGTTATCACTATGAAAGGGAAATGTTCTTGAATGAGGAGCCTTCAGGACATGCCTATGAATATGGAGAATTTAAAGCTGAAAAGGGTGTTTACTTTCCACTACAAGGTCTACACATGTCTACTCAGATGTAAGACCCATTGGGATCAATAGAGCGTATTCTCCAGGCCACAAACTCAATTGGGAATTAAAAGTTCACAAACTGTCAAAAAGAATTATTTCTTGGAATTCTTGGGTTTTCAGAGAAAAGCAAATCCAGACCTCACTACCTCTGAGGCTGCTTGCCATAGATGCAGGTGAAACATCAGGAGAGAATGCCTCTAGACCATGGCCATATAGCCCGAAAAAACCTACAACAACCCAAATCCAGTTTAAATAAATCAAATTTGCATAGGCTTCTTCAGAAACTCAACAGGGAATATAGAAGATTTTTAACAGGGAAAAGACAGCAGTTAATTCTCTTCTAGCTTGAACAACTGTTTATACTTTTTATATTATTTAAAATCATGATACATTATGCCAAGAACTAGCTTCACCCTTCCCCCTCCGAATTGTTAAATCAATACAAGCACACCACACTATATATTTTCCTACAGATCTTTGTTTTCTTCTATAGCTACCATACCACCTCTGTTCTATTTAGTACAGTTTGACTATTCCTTATCCAAAATGCATGGGACCAGAAGTGTTTTGGATTCTGGAATACCTGCATTTACATATATATACAAGATGAATTTATCTTGCTGATGTAAACTAAGTCTAAACATGAAATTAATTTATGTTTCACGTACACCTTATACACATACTCTGAAAGCAATTTTAAACAACACTTTAAGTACTGTATACTAAACAAAGTTTGTGTCCACTGGACCATCAGAAAACAAAAGTCTCAACCACCTGGGTGGACAATTCTGGAGGGTTTTGGCTTTCAGAATTCCAGGAAAAGAACCTGTATAAACCTAAAAAGTGGCTTATGTGTTGGAGAAAATAAAGAAGGTATTTTAATATCCTGAGATAAATAAAACATAATACGTTTTATAGCTTCTGTTATGTTCAACACTGCCGCCAAGCCTATCTGATGCCTATCAGGTGTCCCTATCTGAGCCATGGCTATGAATGATACAGGTGTATTTCCGAATTCCAAGTAAGGGATGCTCAACCTGCATTCAAGTACTACTACAGTTTCTACATGGCATCATAATAAATGCTCTAATCAGGACAGAAGGTACAGAAAAAAGGGGAAAGGGTATAATGGGAGGAGAGGAAGAGAAAAGATATGAGAGGAGGGAAAGAAGGGAAGAGAAAGGAAGGGAACAAAGAAAGGAAGAGGGAGGAAGAAGAGGGGGAAGGTGTTATGAGGGAAAGGAAGGAAGGAAAGAGAAGAGTGGGGAAGGTGTTATTAGGGAAAGCAAGGAAAGAAGGAAGGATGGAGGGAGGGAGAAAAAGTGTTGGAAAGGGAAGAAGGAAGGATGGAGGGAGGGAGAAGAGGAGGAAAGGTGTTATGAGGGAAAGCAAGGGAAGAAGGAAAGAGGGAGGAAGAAGAGGGGAGAGGTGTTAGGAAGGGGAGCAAGGGAAGAAGAGGGGGAAAGCCAGGGAAAAGGGAAAGAAGGAAGGTGGGAGGGAGGAAGAAGACAAGGGAGGAGGTGTTATGAGGGAAAACAGGAGAGGAAGGAAGGAAGGTGTTATGAGGGAAAGCAAGGGGAGAAGGAAGGAAGGAGAAGAGGGTGGAAGGTGTTATGTGAGAAAGCAAGGGAAGAGGGAGGGAGGAAGAAGAGGGGAAAGGTGTTATGAGTGGAAGCAAGGGAAGAAGGAAAGAAGGAGAAGAGGGAGAAGGTGTTATGAGGGAAAGCAAAGGAAGAGGGAGGGAGGAAGAAGAGGGGGGAATGTGTTATGAAGGAAAGCAAGGGAAGGAGGAAGAAGAGAGGGGAGGTGTCATGATGTGTTGCAAGGGAATAAGAGGGGGGGGGGAATGTACTATGAGGGAAAGCCAGGGAAGAAAGAAAGGTTGAAGGAGGGAGAGAGGAAGAAGAGGGGGAAGGTGTTATGGAGAAAAGCTAGGGAAGAAGGGAAGGAAGGAGAAAAGAGGGGAAGGTGTTATGAGGGAAAGCAAGAGAAAGGGAAAGGAAGGAAGGAGAGTGGGGAAAGTGTTATGAGGGAAAGCCAAGGAAGAAAGGTTGAAGGAGAGAGAGAGGAAGAAGAAGAGGGGGAAGGTGTTATGCGGGAAAGCAAGAGAGAGGGGAAGGAAGGAAGGAAGGAGAGTGGTGAAGGTGTTATGAGGGAAAGCCAGGGAAGAAAGAAAGGTTGACGGAGGGAGAGAGGAAGAAGAGGGGGAAGGTGTTATGGAGAAAAGCTAGGGAAGAAGGGAAGGAAGGAGAAAAGAGGGGAAGGTGTTATGAGGGAAAGCAAGAGAAAGGGAAAGGAAGGAAGGAGAGTGGGGAAAGTGTTATGAGGGAAAGCCAAGGAAGAAAGGTTGAAGGAGAGAGAGAGGAAGAAGAAGAGGGGGAAGGTGTTATGCGGGAAAGCAAGAGAGAGGGGAAGGAGGAAGGAAGGAAGGAAGGAAGGAAGGAAGGAAGGAAGGAAGGAAGGAGAGTGGTGAAGGTGTTATGAGGGAAAGCCAGGGAAGAAAGAAAGGTTGACGGAGGGAGAGAGGAAGAAGAGGGGGAAGGTGTTATGGAGAAAAGCTAGGGAAGAAGGGAAGGAAGGAGAAAAGAGGGGAAGGTAGGAAGGAGAGAGGGAAAGGTGTTATGAGGGAAAGCAAGAGAGAGGGGAAGGAAGGAGAAGAAGAGAGGGGAAGGTGTTATGGGGGAAAGTAAGAGAGAGGGGAAGGAAGGGAGGAAGGAAGGAGAGTGGGGAAGGTGTTATAAGGGAAAGGGAGGGAAGAGGAGGGAGGGAAGAAAGAAAGTACGTGAGAGGGAGGTGTATGAGAGAAACGGAAGAAAGGAAAGCGCCACAACGAAAATGCAGAGTCAGGCATACGCTAGTAAGTTCATAAAAGGCAGGTTTCAAGGGAAGACTTAAAAGTTACTTAGACCTGTTCCTCTGCCTGCCTTGTTTACGGAAATCAGTGAGAAGTCCTGAGCGTTATAAACAAGGGAAGAGCTACCAAAACGCCAACACCAAAGAAAACAAAAACTAGATTTCCAAAACAAAACAAAACAGAAAAAGCAGCCGAGTGGCATTTCTTCTGTCGCCAAAGAGAGGAGGCGGATCCTGAGTAAACTTCCACGGAAGCCCTAGTTTCTAGGGTTTTGTCACCGAGAGCAGTGCAGGAGGGAAGGAGGGAGGGAAGGTAAACAATCCCGTCCAGGCTGGCCCCATTCCTGCGAGGAGGAGGAGGAGGAGGAGGGGAGGTGGCGGCGGGGAGCAGCTTGTGGCGCGTCGATCCCGCTTTCGAGGGAGCAGGTGCCTAGTTCTCCCCTCCGCCAAACCGTGGAGACCCAACTCGGGGGAATGGGCGCGAGGCCTAGTGGACGAATCCAAGTCTGGGGCGGGGAGGAGGGGACACTCGCCTCACGGCCCTCAAAACGCCCCCCCCCCTTTCAGAGTGGTTGCGTCCCCTTATGGGAAAAGACAAGAGGTCCCGACCGGCAGCAGGCCCCGGCCAGACCCCGACACTCTTTCGCGACAGGGAAGGACGGTTGGTTCCGTCCAGAAACACCTCCCTACCCAGAAACTCTCCACGAAGTACGCCATCACCATCGCGAGGCCTGGGTCCGAAGGGGGAAACGGTCTCCGAGACACGCCGCCCTTCCTCCCTTCCTTCCTCCCTTCCCTTCGCAGCCGGACTCCTCGCACTCCTCCTGCCTGAACTCTCCTCAGAGACCGAGCGACCCGGGATGCCGCTGAGGCGCATGCGCCAAGGGTGCCGGCGAGGGCGCAGGCACCGAAGCGCGAGACAACATAGGCGGTTGGGAACGCGCCCGCTTCTCTCCCTCCCTCGTGACAGAGTGAGTGCGCATGCGCGAAAAGGCGGAAATGCTGGCTAGGGGAAACTGAGTTTGGGAAGGGAAGGGAAGCCCAGGCTGACCTGAGGCCATGCTACCCAGCTCTACACACCCACTAAAATGAATGCTGTTTGCTACAGTGGTTCAGGGCTATAGGATGGAGGGACTTGTAGTTTGTGAAGCATCAGCACTCTTTGGCAGGGAAGGATGAAAGATCTTGGGAAACTACAACTCTCATGATTCCTGAGGAATTAAAGTGCCATCAGGTTGCAGTAAGTCTACATTAATTGTAACAATTGTAACGTAATAATGTAAATCTATATAAATAAAAATGTAATGTTCATAGAATCATAGAATCAAAGAGTTGGAAGAGACCTCATGGGCCATCCAGTCCAACCCCCTGCCAAGAAGCAGGAATATTGCATTCAAATCACCCCTTTGTGGGATTAACAGAACTCAAAAACCAGGGGGCCAATTGACACCAAATTTGGACACAATACACCTAACAACCCAATGTATGTCCTTTACTCAAAAAAATTGATTATGTCATTTGGGAGTTGTAGATGCTGGGATTTATAGTTCACCTACAATCAAAGAGCATTCTGAACCAAACGTGGCGTACAGGACTCCCATGACCAACAGAAAACACTAGAAGGGTTTGGTGGGCATTGACCTTGAGTTTGGGAGTTGTAGTTCACCTACATCCAGAGAGCACTGTGGACTCAAACAATGATGGATCTGGACCAAACTTGGCACAAATATTCCATATGCCCAAATATGAACACAGATTGAGTTTAGGGGAAATGAACCTTGACATTTGGGAGTTGTAGTTACTGGGATTTATAGTTCACCTACAATCTAAGAGCATGCTGAACCCCACCAACAACGGAATTAAGGAAAACTTCCCATACGGAACCCCCATCCAGTCCAACAACCTTCACCTGGGCAAGAAAACATAAAGCCCTCCTGACAAAGAGCCATCCAGCCATATAGATAGATATGATTCACACACTCACACACACACACACAGATAGTACTATAGATTTAAAAGGGACCCTTAAAGAAGGACAATGATAAGTTGCATGTTCCAGAGTAGGCAAACCAAATAATCTCCACATCAACACTGACAAAGAAACAGCAAGAAATACTGTTTACCCACAAGCAGAAAAACATTACGTATATTAGAAACGAACATTTTCTCATTACATTATTTTCCAGATCACCAGACTGGGCCACAGCAACGCATGGCAGGGGACGGCTAGTCTTATATAAATAAAAATGTAATGTTCGTTTGTGGGATTAACATATCTCAAAAACCACTGGAAGAATTGACACCAAATTTGGACACAATACACTTATCAGGCCAATAAGTGACTATAACTCATAAAAACACTGAAAAACATAACACAAGGGACTTAAAAAGCAAAAAAAATACATTACAACACATGCACAAAACCACATATATCCGCTAACACACATATATACACTAACACACATATATACACTTATATACACACAAAGCACATATACACAAATGGCCACAGCACTGCGTGGCAGGGGATGGCTAGTATACAAATAAAAATAAATTAAATAAATTAAAACACTGAAAAACAGAAGAGACTTAAAAAGCCAAAAAAATTACATTGTATGCGCAAAACTATATATATATATATATATACACACACACAAAACACATATACACAGACTGGGCCACTGCAGCACGTGGCAGGGGACGGTTGGTATATATATATATAATTTTAATAATCTTGTCATATTCCATATTACTACAGCTCATAATATAGTACAATGTATTCTATAGTACTAATAGTATAATATATTGGTAGTGTATTATATATTGAAATATAATAATATAGTACAATATCATACATTCATTGTTATTTATTTATATTTCGTACATTTGTATCCCATCCTTCTCACCCCCTGGGATGGGGTGGGGGACTCAGGGCGGCCACACGATTGGCAACCATTAGATGCCAGAACAAGACAATTATAATAACAATTTACATTTAAAACAATTGTTAAAATATCACATATAATTAAAACTATGCAAGTTCAAGTCATACTTCAGGTCATTCCATTGTCAGTCCAATAAATCATTCTCCTTGTTAATGCTGTGTCTGCTGTTCAAATGCTTGGTCCCACTACCAGGTTTTAAGTTTTTTTCCTAAAGAATAGGAGGGAGGGGGTCGATCTGATTTTATTAGGAAGGGCGTTCCGCAGCCGGGGGGCCACCACCAAATACTATATAATACTATAATAATTGTATATTATATATGATGTAATCTATATAAATAAAATGTAATGTTCGTTTGTGGAATTAACATAACTCATAAAGCACTAGACGAATATACAGAACATATAAAATACACAAAAGATTACCCATTCCAATGAGCAACATCAAATAACATAAAATAGCAACTTACGAATTGAATGCAAATAAACATAACTGGTAAAAACACAACAATAAATTGAAGTGAAAAAAGAAATATATAACTGATTTTTCAAGCAAAGGCGACTCTCGTGCAACTAAGTAGAACTAATTGTCCTTTAGCTTATGTTAAATATAGACAAATATATTTAAAAATTAATGCTTTACCACAAGTAATATGAATACAAACAATCTAACCCAAGCTCATTTTTTTCTTTGAGTCATCATACTCCAGAGACCAGGGTTTGAATCTCCTCTGAGTCACGAAACTCGCTGAGTGACCTTGGGCAAGTCACATTCAGCCTCAGAGGAAAGCAACCTTTTTGGCAAGAAAGCCTTAGAGTCGCTATCAGTTGGAAACTACTGTACTTGAAAGCACATAGCAACAACCAACAAGTTCATTTTAATAAATGCATTACCTGCTTGTAGACAGATTTTTTGGATAAGGATAATGAAGCATTGAAATAATAGCAACAAAGCAATATGTTAACCGTTTGCTGCCATCTCATGACTCCCAAATGTCTGCTTGAAGCGACAGACCTTCTTTGCCTAATGGTTGAGCCAGTCCTACGATATTGGGACTCTTAAATATTATCCAAACCAGAAAATTAGAAGCATTGGAGGTACATTTCAGGCAAAAATTGGCATAAGAAACAAAGATGGCAGGGTTCTAACAGAAGCTGAAGAGATCAAGAGAAGGTGGCGAGACTATACAGAAGATCTGTATAGGAACGATAATAATATCGAGGATAGTTTTGACGGAGTGGTGAGTGAATTAGAACCAGACATCCTGAGGTGTGAGGTTGAATGGGCCTTAAGAAGCATTGCTAACAACAAGGCAGCAGGAGACAACGGGATCCCAACTGAACTGTTTACAATCTTGAAATATGATGCTGTCAAGGTGATGCATGCTATATGCCAGCAAATATGGAAAACACAAGAATGGCCATCAGACTGGAAAAAATCAACTTATATCCCCATACCAAAAAAGGGAAATGCTAAAGATTGCTCAAACGTTTGTACAGTGGCCCTTCTTTCTCATGCTAGTAAGGTAATGCTCAAGATCCTGCAAGGAAGACTCCAGCAATACGTGGAGCGAGAGTTGCCAGATGTACAAGATGGGTTTAGAAAAGGCAGAGGAACGAGAGAGCAAATTGCCAATATCCGCTGGATAATGGAGAAAGGCAGGTTTTCAGAAAAACATCTATTTCTGTTTTATTGACTATTCTAAAGCCTTTGACTGCGTGGATCATAATAAATTGTGGCAAGTTCTTGGTAGCATGGGGATACCAAATCACCTTATCTCTCTCCTGAGAAATCTGTATAAGGACCAAGTAGCAACAGTCAGAAATGACCACGGAACAACAGACTGGTTCAAGATTGGGAAAGGCATACGGCAGAGTTGTATACTCTCACCCAACCTATTCAACTTGTATGCAGAACACATCATTCAATGTGCGGGGCTTGATGAATGCAAGGCTGGGATAAAAATTGCTGGAAGAAACATTAACAACCTTAGACATGCAGATGACACCACTTTGATGGCTGAAAGCGAGGAGGAGCTGAGGAGCCTTCTAATCAAGGTGAAATAAGAAAGTTCAAAAGCTGGGTTGCAGTTAAACATTAAAAAAACAAGATTATGGCAACCAGACTGATTGATAACTGGGAAATAGAGGGAGAAAACGTGGAGGCAGTGACAGACTTTGTATTTCTAGGTGCAAAGATTACTGCAGATGCAGACTGCAGCCAGGAAATCAGAAGACGCTTACTTCTGGGGAGAAGTTCAATGACCAATCTTGATAAAATAGTGAGGAGTAGAGACATCACACTGGCAACAAAACTCCGCATAGTTAAAGCAATCTGTAGTAACCTACAGATGTGAGAGTTGGACCATAGGGAAGGTTGAGCAAAGGAAGATAGATGCTTTTGAACTGTGGTGTTGGAGGAAAGTTCACATAATGTGGCCACATAATGAGAAGACAGAAAAGCTTAGAGAAGATAATTATGCTGGGGGAAATGGAAGGAAAAAGGAAGAGGGGCTGACCAAGGGCAAGATGGATGGATGGTATCCTTAAAATGACTGGCTTGACCTTGAAGGAGCTGGGGGTGGTGATGGCCGACAGGGAGCTCTGCCGTGGGCTAGTCTACGAGGTCACGAAGAGTCAGAAATGACGTAATGAATGAACAACAACAGAATTGGACACATTAATAACATATTATGGTAAATTAAGTGCCTAAGTCACACTAAGTGGAGAAGCAGGTGTCCAACTAAATGAAGCCAACCTCAACATAAAATATGCTGATGACTTGGGAGCAGACATTTAAAACAAGTTCAAATTCATCTAGATGCAGAATATGACGGGGGGGGGGGGGAATAACACAGCTAATGGTCAAAACAAATTAAGCAGACTTCAGTCAAAGAAAAGTCTTGCAACAGTGAATGCATTACTTTGAGAAAAATCTGTATTAGGTGCAACAAGCATAGTAGCATTGCTGCCCAGCCCTGTACGAAATAGTGGAGATAGATTTGCAAATACTGAAGACATCTTTATTG